CGGCACGATCTTCGGATCTCAATCCCATCGAGCATGTATGGGGTTTTCTAGGCAGACGCTTGGCAGCTCGTACCTTACCACCAGTAACGATTCGGGAGCTTCGATTGGCGCTGCAAGACGAATGGGCAGTAATTCTTCAACAACTCATTGACACCCTCATTCTCAGCATGGGCAGATCTGTGAAACCTGCCTAGCAGTCAGGGGAGATCATATTCCCTACTAAAGACCGGATGTTTCTTGCTGGACACCCATCACAGGGATGTTTCGGCCTTCAGTCGCATTGCGCTCCATGCTACTTTTTCAATCAAGCTTCTTTTTATCCTTCTGATTTCTCTTTTAGTAAGTGTTGCTTACATTACACATTTTCTTACGTATTGGGGATCTTACGGTATTAAATGTGTTGATTTGGAAAGCTTTTGTACAAAGTTATATTGAAAAAACCGTCTCGTCCTTAATTTTTGCACACCAGTGTATATACATATATATATATACATATATATATACATATATATACATATATATATACATATATATATATATATATACATATATACATATACATATATATACATATATATATATACATATATATATATATATATATATACATATATATACATATATATTTATATACATACATATATATACATACATATATACACTGCTGGATAATTGCTAAGGATGGATCACATATTGCTATGTAGCATAACATTAAGCGAGACATGAGGCCTAGAAGGATAAAATATAGTAGCCACACTGTTCAGACATTAGAATAAAGAATATTTATTGTTCTGGAAAGTACCAAAGCATGAAAGAAAAAAATGTTCATTTGATCTGCGTACGGAGAAATGGAACAATGCATCTAAAAGTCAGCATGCACCTTAAAGAAAGGTATCAGTACGGGATATGGTCACCATGCAGTGTGATGCAACATTTCACACGTCATACCATACTTTGCACAACATTATCCAGCAGCTGTTGAGGCAATTTATCCCATTCCTCTGTGAGTGCACGGATGAGGGTGTTTTTCTTTGTCGGAGGATAGTTTCAACCAGCAACTTGCCTTCCCAAAGCATTCCACACATTTTCAATGGGGTTTAGATCTAGATAACGCGCTGGCCATACGAGACGTTGAATACCCTCGCTGTCTAGACAATCCTGAACAGCGAGTGTTCGATGACATGTTGCGTTGTCGTCCATAAAAACAAATTTATCACCAACAGCACCACGGAAAAGACAAACATGAGGAAGTAGAACTTCACCAATGTATCGTTGGCCTGTCATAGTCCCATTCTCAACCACATGTAGTGCGTGCGGCCATTGATCATGATGCCAGCCCACACCATGATACTGCATGTCGGATATCGGTCATTTTCTTGGATTTTTTCTGGACGATAAGCAGTACCACTGTCGCGCCAGATCAGTTGGCGTCTACAATCCGATGACAGACTGAACCTACGCTCATCTGAGAATAGTACGCATGCCCAGTCCTGTTCAGTCCAATTGTGATGCTCACGACACCATTGCAAACGAGCAGTACGGTGCTGTCTGGTCAATGGGACACACACAACAGGTCTGAGTGCGTATAGTCCTCCTCCCCTCAAACGTCTGGCAACAGTTTTTCGGGAGATCTGCTTTCCTGAGGCAGCAAGAAACTGATTTGCCACCTGCTGAGCTGTGATGCGCCTGTTCCTTTTTTCTGATATATAGGACGATATATCTGTCTTCTGCAGGCATCGTACTTCTAACACGACCTCCCCCGTGCCGTCTACTACACATTCCAGTAGTTTTAAATGACTTCCACAGCCGTGAAACAACGCTGTGAGCGATGTCGAACTCTCTGGCAACATCTGTTTTTTTTCGCCCTTCTTCGATCTTTCCAATAATTCGGCCACGCATAAAATCTTCTATGTGATGTCGGGAAGACATGCCAAAAATTTTAAGTTCGTCTATTAAATCTTTCCTGTAAATTTTGACTTAAAACAACAACTGTCCACACGCGTCAAAACCTTTAAAGCTCTTATGAACGCTATCACGTGATGAACAGACGTGAAAAAAAAATTTGCATGCTCATACTTCTTCTTACTAATATCCCTGTTGTGCACTTATTCTAATTTTCCAATTTTCACATTTTGCTTCCTTTCATTTTGCGGTTGCTATGGATGATAGTGTTATCCGTCCTTAGCAATTGTCCAGCAGTGTGTATAGATATATATATATACATATATATATGCATATCTATATACATATTTATTTACATATATATACATATATATATACACATATATGTATATATACATATATATATATTCATATATATACATATATATATATTTATATATATATATATATATATATATATATACATATTTGCAGAAACAATAGGAGCTACGAATATAACTCCATAATAAGTTCACGACACCGTTTAAAACTAGAAACAAATTCAGTAGTTTCGGTAATATCAAGCTTTATGTAACGTCAAAAGGCAATTTTCTAATTGCAGACTAAAGTAGGTTGATGAAAACTGTTATACTAAGCTACACCTGCCTTCTCCAAACAGGTTGCTACCGTAATTAAATATAAATACATAGAGCATGACAAAGTGCCTTATTAAATAGCTTCTACTTAGCGAAGATGTGTTTAATCAACTGTTCCCTGTAGAAAAATCTGTTACCTTACGTCATTTCCGCTTTTATCTTCATTTTCTAGAGCGAAAGATTAATATGAGTTTTCCAACATTTGTTAAAAACTGGTTATAACACTTGAGTGTGGAAACATTTTTATTTTACGTTGAGGTTGAATTATTAAGTCTAGGGGGAGAAGATTCATAAATTTTTAAGTCCTGTTCATAAGCAGTTAGAACGTTTGACTTGTATCCCTGTCTTGGTGTGTTTCTGAGAAAATTATTTCAACTAAAATGTTTGTGTAAGTTTTAAAATGATAAAACTGTGGTAGAAATTAAGCATTATATAAGTGGTGTTTTATTTAAAAAGCATTGCTGTCATGTTTCTATATATGCGTGAGAAACATTCTTGCATAAAAAGTTTTGTTTCCAAATATTTAAATCTATATCTGTTTAAATTTAAGTAAATAAACTATTTGTCAGGAGTATACTATTTCTGTCATTTATAATTAATATGATTCGGTATATTGTTTTGAAATGAGTTTGCTGAAATAAAAGTTTACTTACGAATAAAGTTAAATTTAATGCTAAAAGACTGTGTACTTCCTTAAACCTGAACTGTTAAGTGGAAACGTAACTAAATTAATAAATAGGAGATTTAATCAACTTAATAGCAGCAAAGTGAAATGCATTACGAAATATCCTTCAATTTCCGAGAATTTTCAATAAGTTTCAGAAATCTCAAATTGATTGAATTCTTCCCGCATCCTTCGGGAATTAATACTGTCATCTAATAATATATATCTTATATTTATAAGGTATCTTTATTTATTATAAGTAGGCTTAAATTTTATACTTGAACACAGATTTACGCAGTGTCGAATAAAAAAAGTTATCTTTTTGCATTTCGAGGGTTTCACATATTATGATAATAAAAATATCCGCAAAAGATTACAAAATAAACAGAAGAAAGAAACTACAGTACCTTAATTTCTTGCTGTGAATATATTTGTCAATCCTAACTGTCGATTAAAGTTAATTGTTTAGAGTTGTATATAAACTAGTAATATAAAAAAATTTAAGTCAATTCCTACTTATAGATCAACAAAGAAAATTTTTATTTTAGCTACTTTTTTATTAAATAGTTACAATTACTATAAATATGTATATACTTATGACAGAATCACAACATTAACTGGTAATTAATTTTTATTATTTATCATTAAAGCATCGTATTGTCATCCAAAACAATCATGTATATAAAATTTTCAGTTGAACTGAATGCTTAAAACGTGAGAAAAAAATCTTTTCAAGTTTTGACACAAGTCGCCAAAAATGATGCCAACGCGGCTGTATTTGTAATTCTTTAAATAATTAGTTTTAATCAATAAATTTTTATTAATTATAATTAAATTATTAATATTTCATCCAAAATAATGATGCATATAAAATTTCAGCTCAATTTAAAATGTAATTTATTGACGATTAAAAATTCCACCAAGATAAATAAATATATAAATAAATAAAGAGTTTGAGCTAATAGTAGGAATTAAAAAATAGGCCTTGATAACAGCGGTGAATATTAATGTCTTCTTGGAGAAAAAGGGTTTTAACTTACGTAGGGTTAATCGAAACATAACAGCAGTATATAGCCATGTGTATAAGTTGCATTGTAATATGATTTCTTAGCCAGAATTTATGGAGGTCAGTATCTGAGACTTAAGATTATATGTTTATGTGCATTAATATTATATTTAATATATAGTATCTCGTTTTATGTAGCCTATGTGGAAATGCCATGATACATTATACTATCAAAATGTCTATCGTACATCTATTCAAGTTTACTTAGAAATAATTTGATACAATGAAGGCTATATACATTCAAAAATTATTCAGGTTACTTGAAAATGCATTTTAAAAAATGTAACCTAAAATTTTTGTTTTGTTATTCAAGTATTTGTTTATAATATTGCTTTATTTCATGATCCGAATATATATATATATATTAAAAATAAAAAAATAGAAAGGATTGAAATTAACGAGAAATAATCTTAAGCTCGTTCCCCTATAGAACGAGTAAAAGTTTAATTAAATTATTTCTCTCTCTTTCACCTGTTTTTCAATTCTTAATATTTGTTCATTTTCCCTATATTTATATATATCGTGTTCAATTCTTCAATCGTTAATAAAATACTTTCTATTAATCTATTCGAGTTCAAACAAGTTTTTTTTAATTTGTAATGGATGGCACTTGATGTTAATACAGTTTTTTCAAATATCAATTCATTAATTAAATTAAAAAATGAATAATTATTAGCAAACAAAAACAATTGTACAACAGCATATACAAAAAGGAAAATCGTTCGTTATATCGCTGTAGCGCGATGGATAGCGCATTAGACTTCTAATCTGATGGCCGTGGGTTCGAAACCCACCCGGAAAGGTCTAATTTCTGAGAATGTGATTGTTTTTTCTACACTATTTTATTAGAATAATTAAATTTAATTAATGAATAATTAGTACGAAAAACAAAAAAAAAAGATTCCAACAACCTACATAGGAAGGAAAACGGAAAATTTCAAGGAAAATCGCTTTTTATTTTATCGCTTAATATTGTGATTCTGTCATATATGTATACACATATTTATATTGATTTTAAATATTTAAAACATAGTAACTAAAATAAAATTTTCTTTGTTGATCTAAGTAGGAGTTGATATAATGTTTTTTTTTATTACTTGTGTGTTTTATTGAAAGTTTCATTCTTTTGATTTCCTTTTTTTCCCTTACTTTTTATTACAGTATTCCCTTTTATAATGTATTTGAAAGATTAGAAACTTATTTTTTTCCTCAAAAACATTTGACTTTTTCTCCTTTCAAATATTCTTTTCCCACTACAAGTAAGGGGATGGAGAATGGAAAATAATAAAAAAAATCGTAAATAAAAAAAGCAAAATAAAAGTAATTTTCAATGATGCATTTTACTTCTAGAGACATTTCGTATCAGCATTTCCACGGACTCTGCAATTGCCAGGAAAATGTCAAAAATATTTTATTGTTTCATTAGAATGTTTGAGAGACAGTCGGGGCCGAACGATTCTTTAAAAATGTTCGTATCTTTTTGTGTTCTTTTCAGTAGCTTAGAAAAAGGAATTGAAAAGGAAGTTTTCATGTGTAAAGAATTCTGTGTATCTTAGAAACGTTAGTTGCTATTTATAGAATTTGTTGAATAACTGGTTCATTTTTAATTGACATTTAAATTTTATACAAATACGATAAGCTTTTTTTTTTAATTTTTTTATTTATTAGAGTACTTGTATTTTTTTCATTTTATTATTATGGGATTTAAAATATTTTATGTAAACAAATGTAATTTTTATATAAATGTTTACAATGACGTATTTTCAAGCCAAATTTTACTCATTTGAGTCTGTAGTTTCTAATCAATTTTAAAAGAAAAAGAGTCCTTAGACAGGGAGAGAGTCAAAAATATAGTAAAATAATGCATAAACCTATATGAATTTAGAACATGAAATTTAAAATCGAATTATTAAGATAAACTTAAACTATTATGTATTTCATATACAGCTAGGTAAAATTAAGCATGAATTTGTAACTTTTTGTAAATGTCACGTTTACATTTTGGTAAACATTTCAAATAATTAAATACTTTAAGTAGATTACTTGAATTTATTATTTTTAAAGGAAAAAGAAAAACATTTAGGGTGAAAACTTATATATAACTTCGTTAAAAAGGCCTGGTGTGCTTTACGTAGTTATGAAGAACAGCTTCGCTTCATCATCGTTCTTCTAATGGACAAATTATTTTGATGGATGACATTTAGCGTAACACAAGCTCTGAAACATATAACAGTTTCAGAATAGTATTATTTTTACAATAACTTCAGATATACATCCAGATCACTGAAAGAGCGTACAAATTTGAGCATAAAATATATTTTCAAGAGATTTCGTTAAAGAAGCAAAAACTTTTAAAGGCAAAAGGTTTCACTCACAAATATATTATTATTTCATTGATAAATTGGGTAGAATATGTAAGGTGATCTGAATGTATTTGAGCTTTATTTAATATTTAATAATTGTAAATCAACATAACGTTTTCTTACATTTTTACTAGTAGGTATTCGATTCCTACTGATAGTTCGCAAACTCCCTATACATATATCTTGTTCAACCACATTTTCAATCATTAATAAAATATTTTTTTTTCATCCATTCATGTTCAAATACATTTTTTAAAACTTTTAGTAGATAACACTTGATGTTAATACAGTTTTTTTCAAATATTAATTCATTAGTTAAACTTAATTAATGAATAAATAGTCACAAACAAAAATAATAATCCATAACCATATACAAAATTGAAAATCGCTCGTTGTGTCCCTGTAGCGCAATGGATAGCACGTTTGACTTCTAATCCAAAGGCCATGGGTTAGAATTCTACCTGGGATGACCTAACTTCTGGGAATGTGATTTATGAATGAATAAATAGTAACAAGCAAAAATAATTGTTCAACACTTCATACACTCATGTCCATACATTAAGGGTAATGAAGTTCAGGTAAAGAAAGAGACAGAAGCAAAACAAATTTGACTTCTTTGTAAAATCTATTTATTAAACAAAAGGTAAAGAGCAGAAAAGATGCTATATGTTTAACATAATTAATAAGAATTGAGATTTTTACTCCCTGGAGCAAATTTCAAAAAAGAACCTATTTACAAAAAACAGTGTAACATGGTTAGTATGATGGTTAATACGGAGTATGTCTCCCGGACGATGCAATACAGGCCTTACAATGCCTAGGCATGCTGCGTATCAAATTATCAATCTGATCTTGGAAAATATTACACTACTTATCAAGCAATGCCCTCCAAAGTTCCGGTAGACAGGTGGGAGGAGGTTGACGGGCTGCAATTCGTCGGCCAAGCATATCCCACACATTCTCTATTGTATTCAAGTCCGGTGAGTATGCTGGCCAATCCATACGGGTGATATCCTTCGATTGAAGGCATTCGTCTGCAATGTTTGCAAGGTGAGGAGAGGCTCTTTTCATTCATAAACAGAAATTCAGCATCCATGGTGCCCCGAAACAAGCGTGCATGTTGTTCCAGAATGACATCCCTATAGATGTGGCCTCTCATCGTTACACTCTGAACATGCAGGACAGTTGTGGAACCAAGAATAATTCCTCCCCAAACGAGCCATCCAGCACCACTGTAATGGTGTCTTTCAATAGTGTTCTCTTGGTGGTAACGGGTAACCTGGCGCTCTCGATATTAAAGTCAGGCGAGAATCGGACTGTAAACTAAACCGGGACTCGTCGGAAAACACCACACAAGACCACTGTTGTGGTGTCCACAATGCATGCTCTCTACTCCAGGTTATTCGCAGGCGACAGGGAGTTGCGGTAATTGGAACACATCAGACAGGCCTACGAGTATATAGAACAATGTGGCCTAAGCGTCTGTACACGGTCTGCCTTGAAACTGTTGTACCGGTAGCTGAAGAGAGCTGACGAGACAGGTCTGATGCTGTGCTCCATCTGTTTCTTTTGGCAGTAACTGCCAAATATATACAGGGTGTTTCAGCTAAGATGTTACAAACTTCTAGGAGAGGTAGGGGACAACAAGACGACTCGAAGTATATAGGCAATGCTGGGTCGGAAATGCTTTCCTAAGGCTCCACGCGCCGACAAAATTTAGGGTGCAAAACTTCAACTGGTCTTAAAAACGGGAAAAATTATCGAAATGCTTTGGGTTTTGGTCAAAATTATTGTTATTATTTATTATTTCATAAAAAAAATTCTGAACAATATTGCTGCTAAAGCATCGCTAGAGGGCGCTTTAGACTTTGGAACGCTAGGAAAAAAAAATTTCAATATTTTTTAAAGTTTTTTGATGGCTTTCATACGTTGAAACTTTAACTTGAATTTTGATACCAGATTTGGTATCCTCCGGGAAAAATTGATGTAAAAACTCGAACATTGTTCAGGACACTTAAAGCACAAACGGTGCTAAAAACGAGCAAAATGTTGGATTTCGGTGCGGTTTGCACGAAAAGCATTCCGTTACTGACTAATTTGTTCAAAATAAATTTTGACTTGGTAGCCATTAATCAAAGCCAGAGGGCGCTTTCAGACATTGCAACTTGGAAACTCATTTGGATAATTTTGTGGTTGGTTGTAAGCCGAATAATTACTAGCAATTTTTCCTCCTAAATGAGATTCGATTTGGTCTGTGTTGCAAAAAAGTAATTTTATAGCAAAAAATTTTAGTAAAAGAGGGTAAAAAACACAAGTACCAAATTACAAGAAGTAAAACACAAGGAAAGATTCAAAATAGGAGGAAAAAAGCTGTTTACTAACTGCTATGCATAATCATAAAAGAAAAAGTAAAGAAAAGAAGGAAAAACTGCTGTCAAAGGAGGTGTTCGAACTGATGCCCGTCGCATGTGATGTAGGCTTCACATCTTCGCTTCATGGAGCGTCGAACATTCGATAACATTTCTGGAGTGTTTCGTATTTCCCCGGCTGCTGCACTGATGCGTGCTACAAGTTCCTTGGCGCTGTTTACGGGTGTTTCGTACACCAACGATTTCATTTGCCCCCAGAAGAAATAATCCAGACAGGAAAGGTCTGGCGATCGGAGAAATCAATGCACTGGACCTCCACGGCCAATCCATCGTTCACCACATACTGCATCCAAGTGATTCCGAACAGAAATACTGAAATGTGCGGGGGCTCCATCTTGCTGGAACCACATGGAAGTACGAGTCGCAGCGGTAACGTGTGCTCTGTCCAATAACTTTGGCAAAACTTGTTCCAAGAATATCAGGTAGCGTGGACCAGTCAGGTGACCAGGCAGAATGTAGGGTCCTATTAGATGATCCCCTAGAATGTCAGCCCATACGTTAACCAGGAAACGATCCTGTGCAGCCCGAGTACATGTTACATGTGGGTTCGCTGCTGCCCACGAATGGCTGTTATGGGTGTTTAAAATACCCTCTCTCGAAAAAGACGCCTCATCTGTGAACAACACGGATGCTTCAAAAAAGGGATTTGCAATTCGTTACTACAAGTACCACTGTGGAAAGGCCTGACGAGGTGCAAAGTCACATTCTTTTAGTGACTGGACGTACTGGTAGTGAAATGAATGCAGGGCACTATCATCGAGAATCCTCCAAACGCTACTGTATGAAATCCCGATTTCATTAGCGATACCTCGTGTACTTAAACTGGGAGTGGTCTCTACCATATCTAGTACAATTTCCTCGTTCAATTCGGTACGTGCTGCCTTCTGGAATGAACCGGTCCCACATAATTGCTGGTGTAGGCGAGCAAACATGGTATGAGCAGGAGTCCGCCTGACAGGATGCTTTTCGGCGTATAACCTCTGAGTGGCTCGACCGTTGCAATCTGTGGCC